CTTTGGGGGTGTTGGGTGGGTGGGTGTATAGGGGTATTGGGGGCCGCTATGGGGGTGTTGGTGGTGTTATAAGGGCTTCCGACGACCCCCGACCGGTAGGTGCCGACCAGCCGATCGGTCGGCGGGTTGGCAGCCAACCAGCCAAGGGCCGCCGACCGTCGGGGGGTGCAACACTGCCGGCTTGGCAATTGTTTGTGCTTTTCCCTGCTTTAGGATTGGATTGTAGGATTCGAACCTTTGCATGTGGGTATAATAAACCAATGCCTTTCCACTGTGTCTATGCCCGGTGGTTTTAGGGGGCCGATTTCGACAATCGATTCTGTACATGTGAGTAATGTCTGTTCAGGCTTGGGTTTGATGAGAAGTTCTCACAGAGTTGTAAGTGAAGAGTCACTGGAAGTAAGTTTGCTGCAGTGCGGAATGCCCTCGGCATTTCAGTCAAGTATAAGATCAAGTGTAGTCTCTGTTCTTCTCAGTTCAGTACCTGATCCATAGTCCATTGGACCGTTTAAGGCAAAAACAAAAAGGGGGGTTGAGGGTTTAGGAGTTGTTGGATCCTGTCTTGCATGTGTTCATCCCATTGTCTGATTGCACAATGTATTCAAATGTTTGGCAACTTTTTTTGCGAGAAATTGGCACAGTACCGTTAATTAATTATCGTAGGGAGAATGAGAAATCGCTGTTGATATTCTGAAGGTGCATCTTCATCTTCTGACGGGTCGAGATGCAAATGATGCTTTCATGGAATTCTGCCAGGGAGGTTGGGGTATCGTGGAGTGCTTGTGCAACTGGAAAAGTTCTAAAAAGACATTGATGGTTGCTGATGGATACGATATCTGGGTTCATGGCGCAGACTATTCCTGAATAGATGATGTCAGCGACTCAGGATGTTGCTGTTGCAGCTTTTGCTTGGTTTGATGCCGAGGATGACTGTTTCAAGTCATGTTTCAGGCAGTGTTGGGTTTGCGTGGCATGCTTGGATTGTTCTGTTGGTACAGAGATGTGGCGCTCCTCAAGCAGCGGAAGCATCACCAAGGGACCTCACGAGGAAGCTTGACCGTGTGATGAACAGTGGATGGCGCAGGATGGGATGTGGGCTTGGTTTGGACCGTCAATCACATCTAATACATGGGGCATGTTTGTTGATGTCATTGGGCATTGGGCGGGGCGTTTTTCCGGCAGTGACCTTCAGCAGGCTCGAGCCGGGGGGAAGGCTTCTTCTCGGGTACAGGAGAGCAATTCGGAATAGCGATGGTTGTGTCATCGCAAGCTCTGGCAGTGGCAGAAGTATCGCAAAGATCTCGCTGGTGGGTTCCACGCAGTCCGTAGCCTCAAGTGAATGCATAGTTCTCTGCGAGCCATGTGCCTGACTCATGCCACCAATGGAGCAACCTAGGGGGCTTGATGAGAGACTACCCAGGAAGAAGACAGTCCAGACATGACTGTGGTTATCAGCAACAGGAGACTGGTTTTACTGCAGTTAACTTGTTTATCCCGACCGGTACAAGAGAGAGAGAGAGAGAGAGAGAGAGAGAGAGAGAGAGAGAGAGAGAGAGAGAAGGGGGCAATAGGGGATAACTGTGGAGATAACAATAGTCCAGGCAGCCTGGCTTCGAGACACGTTCTCTTCACTCTGAAGACCCTGAACTTGTCTGAAGAGAGAGACAACACTTGCACTGGGAGTAGCTACAGTCGAACGGTGTGCCATATCACTCACTGATTTTCGTGTTGCTCCTGTTGGGCTTATCATCCTCTCTGAGCATTCCGCCTGTTTCAGATCTTGTTTTCAATGGGTCAGTGTTCCCCCCCCATCTGTGCACTGATGATGAGCTTTTTTTTTTTCTTTTTCGGACTGCTGTTGTTTCACATTCTATGTTCGGTCCAAATGCAAACTGTAATGGTCGCTAAATTTGTGTGGAAATGTTTCTCTACGTTGGCAAATTCTGTTATGTGCAGTCTCCTGCAACGACATGCAGCAAGTCGTCACCAGGCATAGGGAAAAGCAATGCCGCATATGACGAAGCGGCCATGTACGATGGACGACATCCGGCAGGGCATGCGCAGCATGTCTGTTCCAACATGCAGCAACCTTCCAACTCAGGAGGTCAAGATGATGGCCGTGGAGGCGGCGGGAAAAGGAAGGGCCCTGGAAGGCCACCCGGTTCCCGGAAAAAGAAACTGAGAAGTAGTGTTGAAGGCAGGCAAGCACCAGGGAGCGGTCCTGACGAGTTGTCAGATGGTGCAGGGTCCGATGACTCTCACGAATGGACAAGGACGGCAACATTTGCTCAGGAAAGAACAGACAAGAAGTTTGAAGCAAATGCAGTTGAGAAGTCTGAGGTGAGACATGCATCCTAATTTTCAATTAGCCACATCCAAGCGAGTCCTTAATTTTAAGCTCGTCTCCTCAAGGAGGTATACAATAACATGCATTGAACTGCATGTTTATTTTTTTAAAAAGAAAAATAAAGAACTAAATAATTTAACAAATAAATAAAATAATAAATTAAATAAAAAAACTTAAAAAAAGAAAAAAAAAGAAAAAGACATTAACGTGCATTTGAATCTCTGACCGCCGGTCCCCAAGACAGATGCAATACCAGACTGTTCTTGACACTGTAGTGACTGTACTCAATTGCTTGCTAAGTTGCTAACACACAAGAAGTCCAAGATCAAATCACCAGGAATTGAACCTATGACCTGCAACCAAAAAGGTGGATCACTTAAAATTAGCTGGGACGGAAGTCACCCAACCCATGCATTTGAATCTCTGACCGCCGGTCCCCAAGACAGATGCAATACCAGACTGTTCTTGACACTGTAGTGACTGTACTCAATTGCTTGCTAAGTTGCTAACACACAAGAAGTCCAAGATCAAATCACCAGGAATTGAACCTATGACCTGCAACCAAAAAGGTGGATCACTTAAAATTAGCTGGGACGGAAGTCACCCAACCCAGCATGGATGTTCATCCATGACCGAGTGTACCCAGACTCTACTCAACCCAAGTGCATGTGATGGGGCTCATGCCACCAGCCAGACCTCAACCAAGCACATGCAAGGGCGTGTGTCAATGCAAGGGAGACGCATGCCGTGATGTGCAGGCCGAAGGCAGAGGATTAGGAAGAATGGAAAAGAAAGTGAAAACAAGACAGATGCATCTTCAAGCATGAAAGGAGACAGGAAAAAGAGAAGGAGAATGACATAAAACCACACCAGGCCATAGAGCAAGTACGCGCCAAAAACCGGCACTCTAGATCTAAAATGAAGTACACAACAGTGCCATGCTGGCGAAGTCCCTACAGTTGTTTCGTCCGTCCGCCAGAGACGGAATCACTAGGGGACAAAGAAGGTGCGTACAAAACCCTTCCAATCAAGCCTTTTATTACTCATTCTCTCGTTACTCCAGGCGGACCGCTCATCAAAAAGGAGATGGAGAGAGAGGGACGGGAAAAAAAGGAGGGGAGGGCGGGGAATGGGGAGAAAGGAGTGGGAGAGAGTCGAGAACCAGATAAACTCGAACGGGTGGAAATGGAAAAATCTGTTGGCCATATACATCCCAAACGTAAGTGTACCCAAAACCACGTCGTCAGAAATTTTGAAAACGTCTGCTGAGAGTAGATTCGTAGCGCCGCCCACCAAAGACTCATTTCAAGATCTGCGCCCAGAAAGAATAGGAACCAAATTCAGATCAGTCAGATCAGCCAAAGGCAGAGGAGAAATCAGTACACTCACAGCTCGAAAAGGAGGTGGCGGTAGTAGTGCTCAGACAGAAAAAAAAAAAAAACAATCACTGAACGCAGCTTACGCCGGGCTGTCCACCCCTGGCCAGGGGTGGGCACTTTCTGCAACCCCCCCCAAAAATAATAATAATAATAATAATAAATATTAATAATAGTAAAAAATTGAAAATAAGAAAAGTAAACAGTGGGGGTCCGCAGCGACGGCACGCACCCTATTGGATAAACTTATTAAGAAGCCACAAACCCATTTGCCCCCCACCCCAGACCGCCCGCTGGGGACACCCCCCACCCCGGTGGGGATGGTCGGAGCCAGGCTCAGGGGTCAGGCGCGGGGTCGGGCGCAGGTGCAGGGGTCGGGGGTGGGCGTAGGGGTCGTGATCCCCACACAGGGGTGGGTGTGTGGGTCCAGGGGTCTCCACGGGTCCAGGGTTCCGGGGGTCCAGGGGTCCAAGGGTCCAAGGGTCCGGGGGTCAGCGCACCTGGGGTCCGCAGGGGCACGTGATTACAATTTTTTTCCCAGCCCCCCAGAGTGCCTATTAAAAAAAAAAAAAAAAAAAAGTCCCCCACATTATTCCTGTTTTCCTTTTTCTGTTTTTGTTCTTTTTTGTTTTAAAGCCAGGTTCCAGACCCACGGAGATCGCAGTCATCAGTCAGCCATTGGTTGTCTTAACGATTGTGAGGCCACCACCCTACCCATCCTCTCATCAATTCTCCTAGCGTACCCCTACTCCCACTATGCTTCCTCAGTGTTAATCACTCCGGACTAGCACCCGCCAGTATTCCTCGCGGGGAGTGCAGGGAAGTAGAAAAAGAAAAAAAAATCTGAGATTCTCACTCCGGGGATCCATGGACCCTTGGGGCCCAGGGGTCGGGGATCCCTGCGCAGGGGTCAGTTCGTCAACCCAGGCTTAACCCCTGAGGATCCCTGCATGACAATGCTGAGCGTACGCGCCCAAGTTTACCACCATTCAGCACATTGCAGACGACAAGGCACTGCATGTGGTGGCTTCGGCCAAGTGAGCAAGTGTTGCATACTGTAACGTGCAGACCAGAACAAGAACCGACCTCTCAATACAAAGTACAAGATGGCGTAGCGGAAGACTTAGATACCAGTGATCCGAACAATCAATATTGCAATGCAGCCCTGAGCATACATCATCATCATCGTTACCTGGTGTGAATGGGGTCTGGCGCTTCTCACAGGAAGACTGCGCCGGCCCCTATCACACACAGACGAAGGAGAAGGGGGTTAGACGAAGAGGAGGGGCAGATGGGAATGTCGTCAACACCAAGTCTTCGGCACAGGCCCAAATAGTCCCTCGTCGAACTGTCTGAATCCCAAATGTCTAGTCTGGATCCAATGTCGTCAAGTCTCAAGTCACAACTCTTTCTCTCTCTGTCGTAGTCTGAGAAGTCAGGTGGTGAGAGGGTGAGAAGAGATGGTGGACTTAGAAGAGGAAGAAGAAGAACTCTCTCTCTCTCTGTGTCCAGTACTAACCTGTGAAGTTGGGGCCTTGATGCAGGTACCTCGAATATGGAGCTGGAGCTATGGCGCCACAGGTAAGTACCGCTGGCCTCCGCCAGCCATCCCCTCCAACGCTACTACTACCACCTACTAGCGCCCAGCGCTGAAGACTAACACCTACAGCTATGGGCGCCCAGCGCCGAAGACTACAGCTAACGCTGAAGACTACTGCCTAGCGCTGAAGACTACTGCAGCGCTCCTCCTGAGTGCTGCGGCCGAATCCTGAAGACTACTCGTGCCTACTGACAACTACCTACCCGTGAAGTGCATGGGAACTTCCTATGTACTACCGGGTGTGTCCTGACTACATGCGAGGCAGTCCAGGAGGCTGCTCTTGCCAATGCCGAAGGGAGGCAGGGGCTGCCGCTGCAGCTCCTGCTCGAGCTGTCGTGGGGAACAGGCTAAAGATAGCCTGTTCCRAAAACCCTGTTTTTGTGCCYGAGTCCTASGGTCRGTCGAAACAAYGAGGGCCTGAAAATGGCCCTCCGTTTCAGGCTGAAAAGCCTCTGGGCCTGAGAGGCCCAGAAATAGGCTGAAAACGGAATAGGGCCTGCAGGCCCTCGTTTTTCAGTTTCAGACTGAAACGACCGGGGCCTGTAAGCCTATTTTCGAGGCTTTTAGGCTGAGAATCTGGGACGGGCCCTGCAGGGCACGTGTGGCTACGCAGTATGCCACACCCCCCCCTACTTGAAAGACCGAGCTTACCTGGGGGGGCGAAGCTGTCTGTCTGAGGGAGGGACCACAGTCCGGGTGGGAGGGGCAGGTTTGCGAAGCTTCCTCAACTGGTCTTCGTTGTGCGTAGCCGTCGTAGATCAGCGGTGCTGATGCTTGCAAATCTGCGAACTCGGTGTCCAAAATGTCGAAGGACACGGCCTCGCGTACATGCGGGGCGAAGTACACGAGGACGRGGTCAAATGCACCGGTCGATTGACTTGTGCGTGTGACCGTCGGCCAACGTGACTTGCGAGGGCTGCGACTTCCTCCGAACGCGTGGCCCCAAGCCATTGCGCACTGGAAATATGTGGCCCATATAGTTGCGAGTGCTTCCACAATCGATCAAAGCGCTGCAGGTCTCCTCTCCGATCTGAATGCGTACATATAGCAATGGTGCATCGATGTCGTCGTACCGTTGCGTCTTGAACTCGCGGTCGATCTTCGCAATGTAGGCGTGAAGGTCGACAACCTCTACTCCGGCGTCCATCAACGGAGTCGGTACTGCAGTGTGCAAGTAATCCCGCAATTGTGCCATGAGCACGTTGCAATGCGGTTTCGACAATCGACCGGACCGGGGAAGGGGCATCCAATGGAAGTCCGCAAAAGTCAACGGGTCGAGCTCTTCAAGTCTTGACCATGACGTTGAATGCCCGGCGGTAGATGGCGGCGAAGCTGCCGAATCGGTTGTCGATGGTGATGAAACCGTGCATGCGGTGGATTGTTGCACGTGGAGTGGTTGGTCCAACGGTGAGACCAAGTGGACAGCGTAATCCTCTTAAGATTATCGAGGACTTGCGACATGCGCCTCCTCCCCAGATGTGTAGGGAGGCCGCTAGCAAGGCGGCCAAATCTRGCGGAGTGAGAGGTGGAGTCGCCTCACCTCCCGCGCAGCTCAGTTTCCCGAGCTSTGGTACTGGCTGTCCATTTMCGGCCGGCGATGCGGTTTTCGCCTTCCCTTTTCTCGGGAGTTGTTGTTGCTTCGCGGCTGGACGGCGGCCACCTGATCTTCCTCACGTGATGCTTGGGTGGTTGCCGGGTCTTTCACAATGGTGTCCGGTTGGACTGCAGCGACATGCTGCGGACGCAGACCAAATTTTCCTTCTCCACATGGGCTGGCTGCCACGCTGTCTTTCTCGTGTGCAGCAGCCCGGTTGGTCTGGCATGCCCAGAGCTGCGCCCGTCATGGTGGCAGGGCACTGCTGACGTGGCACTGTTGCTTACATGGCACTGCTGACGTGGCACTGTTGCTGACGTGGCACTGTGACCGACGTGGCACTGCTGATGTGGCACTGCTGACGTGGCACGCATGACGTGGCACTTTTGTTGATGTGGCACTGCTGACGTGGCACTATTGCTGACGTGGCACTGTACCAACTTGGAAATGCATGCAAAGGGTGGGTGGGGATGGAAAACGCAGGTAGGGAACCAACCCAACAATACTTTCCGCCTGGCCCTAATCAATAGAGAAAATAAAATAAAAAAATAAAAGAGGACTACTTTTTTTTTTTTTTTTGTATATCT